TCTTAAGTGAGCGAAACACGCGCAAACCCTTTTAGCTGACCAAGCATCTTTGGTCACGTAGGCCGGCTCAAGCATAGGTTAGATTATAAACCTTAAAGTTAAGTGTTTTCAGTTTTGTAATAAAGCTCAACAGAAGCACATAGTGCTGCTTATAAAAAACGCATTGTTTTATTTTTTATGTTATATATTATATGGGTGAAAATATGCCTCCGGGGTAACTAGCAGCCAAAAAATATAGGTAACGCGCCTATATTGCAACTTCCTTACTATTTTTAAATCCTTTAATTCCAATCTTGTGCCGAAAAATCAACTATTTCGAACAGCTGAGATCTGTGGGCGACTATATGATTCTTTTGTTACTTGTATGTTTCTAAAATGGACACGACATGACAGCACGGCAGTGAACTGTAAATGGCGTCGTGAATCCTACCACATGAACATTTGAAAGAAGTTAGCGACATAACAATGGCCGGCATGTACACAAAACAACACAACTGTCCATTTTTTATGGATACAATTTCGTTGTTGCCAGACTAATACCTGTTCACTTCAATGAAATTTTAATATAATGTTCAAAGTGAAATTTTTTATGCAAAAAATAAGTAAATATATATATTTTTTTTTTTAATATCAATTACTATTTTATCCTTTTATTTGTAAAAGAACGTTAGGTTTGTTTGAATACTGAATAATTTTACATATTACATATTAGTGGCATCACTCCTCTCTATAGTCATCTATTATAGCGCGTAAACGTGGCCCGTGTCAGCTGATACGACCTATCTCATGGGCATGGATAATATGATTCGAGACTCTTTGATTCGAGAGAGAGCTGTCAAAACTCGCATTTTTTATAACATTTGCCAATGATGCCACAGTTGAAAAATATTAGGTTTTGTATTTAATAAATTATACAAACCACTAAATTAAACAATTTGAAAATGCATACATATATAAATGCTAAAATGCAAAATCATTAATTAATTTACATAAACATTTATTTTGAAAAAAAAAATATGTTCGCACAGTTCAATGAAATTTCATTTCACACTAATTTCGTCAGGTAATTATAGCGGTTTACTTCTGGCATCCCGATATTTTTGAAATCAACTGTCAGAAATTCCCTGAGAGAGAAAAAGAGAGCCAATGCTAAAGCCTTGTATCATATTATCCATGTCATGGGAGCGCAATGTAAGTGATCAGCGAAAAACGCTACTCCCTTCTGCTTTGCCGTAGGATGCTGTAGATTTCCATGGCATTTGCATTTTTTTCCGTAGCAAAGTATCAGCAGATTGCTCTAGTAATTATAAAAATTGGCTTCAAGATGTTTGAAATTTTCAAAATCAGAGTCGAATGCAGGTATTTATAAATATGTAAACTATTTTTAATTATTTGTTTGCGGTTTTGATATCACTCCTCTCTATTGTCATCTCAACCGCCACCACTGAGGCCCTGCAGTCGGTCAACTCTCTAAATAACTGTGCCCATAAGAACGTCTGTATTTTAATATTTGACAAATATCGATTGCAGTCTGTCGCGCTCTATGTGTTCAGCACATGAGAAATTAAGCGGTCAGCGTTAGCAACTGCGATCCTCTTACGGAAATGGCGGCCTCCAAATTTAACATCCTCAGAAGAAAGAAGTAAAGGCGTATTCCCTGAATTTTATTTTAAATCTAAGATTTATAATTAAAAAAAAGGGTTAATAATGAATATTTACATGTTCTTTGACATACATTTCCAATTTGAGTCATTCAAAAATCATATTAAATTATTTACTTAAAAAAAAAAGTGGAAGCATTGAGGAAGGCGAGTTGTTGCTTTTGCAAATACATAATAAGTTATATAAAACAAATTTCTCAACATTAAAAATAGTGAATTCTACGCGCTTGCTGTGTTAATGTCTATATGAACATGTACATTTTTGAAACCACATTAACTGTGAGCGGAGAAATAGCGTTTATACATTTGATGAATATCCTCAAAATAATTATATTACTTTCTGGTAAAATTTAAATGTCAGTGTCCTCAAAAGCGTACATTGCAGATCAAGAATGAAAAACTTGTGAACATAGGCAACACCAAAAGAAAATATCCCCGATTAAGAGGAACAAACGTTTCCGTGTGTAACCCCAGACTAAGAAATTTTTCTGTAATTGGATATAACAAAAACAATAAAGAATGTGAGTGGCAAGAGGCAATTAGTCAACAGAAAACAAAGTGTGAAATCTGGACGAGAATTACTCCCAATAATGAATAATTTGGATAGCTGCGGTCAAGCTTTCCACAAATTGGAAAAAGAAACTTCCAATTTATCTTTGTTAAAAGACCGTGTAGAAAAGTATCATGATTTGTCAACGCAAATGTCAAGCATTCTGACAGTTTTTGAACAACGTCTAGGAAAATTGGAAGAAACTATTCTACCGGTATACAAGGAAACGGAACAACTCCAAAAGCGCCAACTGAGTAGGAGTGTACCATTTTAAACTTTAGAGTAACATATTTTAGTATTATTTTGATTTTATATTAGATTTGGACGCTACTTTAGGTTGCCTTGAAACTGTGCTCGCGCACTATGATGTTTCTCAAGAGGTGTGCAACCTTATCCATCAAGGACCAATAGAAGGTAATGTGAGTAGCTTTCTTGAAGCCTTGGGAAAGTTACGTGCTGCTATGGATTACTTTTTGCACCATAACTCTCAAAGTGTGGAGCTAGAAAATGTCACAAGCCTTTTTAATACGGGCTGTGAAGGTCTAAATCAACATTTCCGGTTATTGCTAAAGAAACATAGTGTCCCGCTAAAGCCAGTTGACCTATTAGATCTTATTTACATAGAGGATGACTCCAGTGATGAGTACACATCGTTCCGACAGTTGTCACAAAACACTAGAGAAGAACTGGCTACGATTGCCCATTGGTTGGAGCAAAATTTGCGACGAGAGTATACAATAATTTATGCGGCAGAAAGAGGTGAAGTGGTTTTACGTTCACTGCAAAACTTAAAAGATCACCAGAAAAGTAGCAGTTGGGGTCACGAAGCTTTGGTGTGTTTATGATATTGTTATTAAATTTATGGTAAAAATATATGTATATATTCTGCAGAAACCTCGGCATAGTGGACGACCAGATGTGAAGAAAAATACGTCGGCACGACTGCAACAAATGTAAAGAAATTACCATAAAAACGTTATTTTTTATCTATTGATAAAACGTTTATTTTTTAGTTTCGAGCGAAAAGCAAATAAATTGTATCTGCGTGCGACTCAGACACTTGAACAATCAACAGGAATATCGATAAAAAAGGCATCATCACACTCTGAACACTTGTCCGCCGAAGAGTTCATGGATGGAGATCAAGAACTAGACAAATATCTTGTAATGCTATTGGGACTGCAACGCCTTCTAAATTGGGAACGCGCCCTAATGACTGAAATTGTGCCTGCCTCCAGACATGGAGAAGTTTTCTCCAAATTGGCTTACAATTCCATAGAACTCGTGGTCAAAGATGCAGAGTCAATTACAAATCGCATAATGCGTTGCATTTCACGAAAAGAGTGGACATCTGCTTTAGGCATATTTTCCGCACTTAAAAGGGTAATTTTGCTTCAACCAGACATTGAACGTACCTATGATCCACAACAACGCGAGCAACTTACTAAGGTCCTAAATAAACTTCAAGTTACGGTATGAGAAAGCTTTAATCTGTAAAAAACATATTCATAACATAGATTATTTAAGGGGGCGAAAGCTTTAGAACATTTTCTTGATGTGGTTAAAGGTGAATCTGGCACGAATATAGTTGGCATGAGTTCAAGCACACTTGGTTACGGTTACGTCAATGTCCCTAAAGATGCAACAGTGCACGAGCTCACTTCGAATACTATTTGGTTTATAGAACATCTTTATGAGCATTACGATGTAATTGGAGCTATTCTACAACAGGATGTTCTTTACAGTACTCAATTAGATACAATTCTAATGAAAAAAGCTTTGCCAGGTGAAGAGCGCAATAAAGCATTGCTGGCGATTTATATCAGTAAGCAATTCTAGATAATGTAACAAATATACTATCCAATATAATAAATCCAATCTTTTTTTAAATAGAAAAGGCTTTAGCGGAATTGAACCTTTCCATAATGAATAAATGCGAGCAGTATAATGACCAAGCCACGAAACATCTGTTTCGCCTTAATAACATTCATTACATTCTTAAATCTCTACAGCAATCAAACCTAATTGATATTGTTACATTAGCGGAGCCCGAATGCGAACAAAGCTATTTAGACATGATCCGCGAATTAAAATTTTCTTACCAAAAGACTTGGTCGAAAATGCTAATAAGTATAGGTGTAGAGGAATTGCCTCGACCCTCTCATGGTAAGGTGAAGGATAAAGACCGCAGCATACTAAAGGAGCGATTTTCGGTGAGATAAGAAGGTTCTCATTTTCATTAAAATGGTTTCTTAATGGTTATTTCATTATAGACGTTCAACAAAGATTTTGAAGAAGCATGCAAAGTGCAACGAGGAATTTCAATTCCAGATGTGATTTTGCGAGAGGGGATAAAGCGCGACAATGTAGAGCACATACTTCCAAAATATAATAAGTTTTATGAAATGTAAGAATTTTAAATGAACGTAACTATACTCTAATATCAACATATTTTTGTTTTAGGTATGCGTCCGTGCAGTTCAGCAAAAATCCTGATAAATACGTAAAATATCGTCCTCATGAAATCAATCAAATGCTAAGCAAACTTTTTGATGATTCTGCTTGAAGTAGCTTACTATAAGTATTACAATGATTCTTTTTTTTTTTTAATATTTTGTATTATTATTTTTATTTAAAAATATGCATATAAAAATTTAATAAATATAAACACAGTTTCTATTATATTTTCAACTACATTTTAGAACTACAAAAATCATAAATATTACGCATAACTGTTTGTGTAATACAAATAAATAAAATTAAATTAAATACATAAATAAATGCAAAAACAAAATTAAATAGTAAACAAACTATGTTGACGCCGAAGCTCTGTGAACGTACGTTCCTTGTTAGTAAAGGTAGTTCGACGAAGGCGCCTCTGGCCGTCCGCAGGCTCCATAGTGACCAACTTTTACGGTGTTATTCGTTCGACAATTTTCGATTTCCAGGAAGCATTCATTCAGATATGTCATATCATCCGTTCCACAGATCGGTTCGAATTCTCGTGGGCAAATACGAGAGCAGCCTTTAAACTGAATATTACTGAGGCAACGCTTTAGCGGCACTACGAACACATGTTTACCGCAGTTTTCTTTTCGCATGTGACATTCGGATTTATAAAATTTATTGTCGGATCCACATACGAAATTCGGTGGCTGTGCATCACAGTCCGACTCACAGTCGGCAGTGAGTAAACAGTTCTTCAAGGACACGGGTACCACTCGCATGTGGCAAGTTCGGCGTTTAAAGTCACACATTGAAGGGAATGTATTACCATCTGAACCACACACCGGTCCACTTTCGATATCGGTGCGCGTACAACGCTCACCACAATCCTTGCTTTGAGCTTTCAGGTCCGTGCATGGTCCTATATGAGCCAGATTTACTCCACGTCTGTGAAGATCAAAAAGCAAATAATACATAATTTAATTAATGTGCCTTTTATAAAGAAACATATGTATGTATAAGGTATTTTTTTTTATTAACAGTATAACATCAGTTGACTAATATCAATAACACGTCCCTCACATTGCCTAAAGTATGCATATGGATTATAATCGGATTTGGCATCATCTTTTAATATATTTAATATAATAAGTACTTTTTTATATCATATAATATTTTAGTTTTATTGTTAAATTTTGCTTTATGTTGCTTCATGCTTTATATTAAAACATTATCTACTTTTTTCCAATATTTGCAAAATCCTTATATAGAGTTTATTCGAAGGCAAATGCAATTATCATCTCTAGGAGTGGCATACGAGGTCTTCTCTTGTGTGACAGATGAATTCAAAATTGAAATCAAACAAAAATTTTTAATAGATTAAGAAGTTTGGAGGAGAAAAATATTTCTTAAGTACTATATATTGTGAAATAAAATAATCTGGTGGAATCTAAAATTGAGCCACCTGGAGAGTATAAGCGATTGTAGTCCGATTGATGGAGTCATTTCAGAAATGTGGATCTTTACTTAAAAATGAGCGAAGACACGCCTATTATTAAATTTTTTATGTTACTAGCGCTATTTTTTATGCAATTGCACTTTTTTAGTTTCGTCACATGGAAGATATTGTCCGAAATTCTCCGTTTTATATCATAGCTTTAAGTGGGGAAAAGCAATGTTTTCACTATCTTTTGCTAACCCCGTTCTATAAGCTTATGATATGCATAGGTGATGTTATAAAAAGAAATTATTGCGTTGCTTGTATTTATTTTAATAAATTTCACTTAAGTTCAAGTTTAAAGAAAAACTATATTTACTATAGTAACAAACTATTATCATTTTACTGAAATTTTTAAGAAATTACCTCAATATGGAAGAAAATACAAATCACCTCGCTCTCATAGTTAGAAAAGACAAACATTTTTACTAACATTATAAATATTTCTTTGAATTCTACTAATTGTGCACATTCGTTTGGATAAGCTTTTAATTAATATAAGACATGTATGCACAGATATGTTCTTAAGGCTTTGTTGTACCAATTGTAGCAATTTATTATCAATTAGAAGATTGACCTCAGATTCGACACTTCAAAAAACTTTATTCTAGTAATGTTGGTGTTTTCGAATAATTTCCATAACAACGCTCTTTTAAATTGTTAAATTGTTTATTACACGTCCTGGTGCTTATGCATTAGGCTAGAATCCTATAAAAGTCGTCTTATCCTTTACTCTCTGAATCATGCGAAGAAAATATTGAGATATTTCTGTAGCTCCTACAGTAACCTGTAGGTAATTTAAGCTGCAGTGGTCCTTTTTAGACTGACCTCTTTGGTTGGGGTTAAAGGTTTTTTTTTAAAACCGAATTATCTAAAACATACTAACAACATAACTCTAAAAATCCATTACTAAAGACTGCTAACTACTACCGGGTTTTCCAATAGTGGTGATATGATTTCTAAGCGACGTTCGTAATAATCGTCCACCTGTGCTCGATTCGTCGTTGTTGAAAATTACCAGACAAATAACCGCTCAAAGTAGTGAAAATATTGCTGCCGTTCAGGCTACCCAGGATAACCAACTTTTTATGGCCGCAATTGGAAGAAGTTGATCTTGACAATATCTGGTTCCAATAAGGCGAGGCTACGTGCTAGATTCGGTTATTTCAAGTAATTGTGATATTGAATGGCTTCCAAGAAATTGCGACTTAACACCATCAGACTACTTCTTATGGGATTATTTGAAGACATTGGTTTTGAATGTGCATTAACGTACGACTTGATTCAGTGGAAAAAGTACTCGAAAAGTGGTTTTATCGAATTCGTTCTTGCAAAAGAAGTCGTGGGCGCCATTTGAAGAATTATGTTACATTCAGAACTTAATAGCAGAAAGGGTGGAGAACGTAGAATCGTGGCCCGTGTCAGCTGATACGACCCCTCTTATGAGCGCGCAATGTAAGTGAACAGTGAAAAACGCTACTCCCTTCTCTCTTTGACGTAGGATACCGTGAGAAGTCACGGCATTTGAACATGGATAATATGAAACGAGACTTTAGCATTGGCTCTTTTTTTCTTTCAAACGCGTTCCCTGATTATTTGTCAGCGAAGGAGATCAGGGAATTTCTGCCAGTTGCTTTCAGAAAAGGCGGCATGCCAGAAGTAAACCGCTATAATTACCTGACAAAATTAGTGTGAAATGAAATTTCATTGAACTGTGCGAACATATTTTGGCAAAATAAATGTTTATGTAAATTAATTAATGATTTTGCCATTTAGCATTTATATATGTCTGCATTTTCAAAGTGTTTAATTTAGTGTTTTGTATAATTTATTAAATACCCAATCTAATATTTTTCAGCAGTGGCACATTGGTAAATGTTATAAAAAATGCAAGTTTTGACAGCTCTCTCTCGAATCAAAGAGTCTCGTATCAAATTATCCATGATTTGGATTTTTGCCGTAGAAACGTGTCAGCTGATTGCTCTCTCACAACGCAGGATTGCCAATATCTATATACTGTAGTAATTATCAACTTTTATAATTCAATATGTTCAATATGTTTGAAATTTTCTAAAAATAACTCAAAATCAGAGTAGGATGCTATTATTTATAAATATATAAACTATTTTTAATAGTTTGTTTTCAGTTTTGATATTTTATATTATGAAAAATTGTAATTGGAAACATAGATGTGTACAAAACTATATATGCGTATTGAGCAATGGAAACATTGTTCAAATGAAAACAAAGATGGCTGATTTCTACGTTTTTGCCACGGGCGCAACTGTTCACACATTTTGCTCGATAAGGAAGGAAAAGGAAGGAAGTCAGTAGCGTTTGTGACTGGTTCTGCTATAATTGTATCGATTATACTTCCCATTAAATATAGACACATTTCCTTAAAAAAGGTTTTTATGTAAAGAAATCATATCACTCTAATTGGAGATAACATACATACTGCGGACTCGTATATGTAGGTGTACAAAATTTAATGACGATGGGTGTTTCAGCGTAAAAACGTGACAAACAAACTTAATTTCACATTTATAATAGTTATTAGTATGGATTATCTGAAAAATAACGAGATTATTCGTCTCGCGTGCCAAGTCCCACGAATTTTAATTGAAAAAGTCGGAAAGTTGTAAAATTAATTCGTTGCACTAATCGGCATATATCGGCTGAGGTCTTTAATGAATACATTTATAAAGTTATTTAACTTCTCCTGAAGGGTACGAAGAAATCAAGTTGTTAAAACTTTGCAGCTCTAAAATTCGTCTTTTTTTCTTCCTGTCTGAACTTGGTTGCCATAGAAACGAGAATGGTAAAGAGCAGTAAAATTTTTTTTCGGACTGACCCATACATAGTGTTTGTTAAGGATGTGGGTATGCACATATTTCTAATCATAAATGGGATGCTCCATGAAGTTAACTTTGGCCTACATTGACTACAAAATTAATTGCGATTTCAAAAAGAAGTTGGCCACTTAAGAGATTTTTCTAAATTATAGAATATTCAATTGGCCTATTTGTAGATACAAATTTCTATCATTTAGACTTACAAGCACGTTGCATGCGCAAGCTCACATTCATTGTTGTAGGTTTTTGCATCACTGCCACACAGTTTGTCATTGCGATTTGAGGAAAATATGGACCCGAATAAATTATTAAAGTCTTTGCAAGGCGGCAGCTGTTTGCATCGATTCAAACGGGTTTTACACTTGTCCATGCTCATTTTCTGTATAGATTTTCGTTGAGGACTATAAGAAATAAGAAAAATAAAAACACGAGACATATTATCGACATTATTGTCATTGCTTGTCTTATGTACAGCACAATGAACCAATTACCGCCTACTTACCCACAGTTTAACATTTTCAATTCGCAAAGCGATGAATAAATATTGCCATCGCTTCCGCAGACATATTGTGATGGCGCGTCTGAGGTAGGAGGACATTCGGTGGGACAGTTATCTGCTGATTTGCTGCCATTTGTATTTCGCTCTTGAGACATGCAAAATGCTAGCGGTACTTCGAAAATATGCTTGCCACAGTTGTATGCTCGCATCTTGCAGGGGCTGGCATACAAACGCCCATCAGAACCGCAGGTGGGCCGTGCAACACGCCAGCAAGACTCACGGCACATGCGCGTCGATTGGCAATGCTTCCGACTGGTCTTCACTACACCTTGGCTGCACGTCAGCAATTTCATCTCGCATGTCGAATTGTATACATTGCCATCGGAGGCGCAGATAGGACCGTCTTTAGGAGCACTTTTACAATCCACTGGACAAGATTCACGTATGGCACTGATGTTACTGCAGGCGCCCACATGCGACATGCTAACCGCAGCCAAGCCAACACGACACGCTTGCACGCGCAACATACAGCGATTCAAGTAAGTATGGCCATCAGTGCCGCAAACTGGGTCTTTCTCTGTAGGACACCGGTGCTTGCATTCGGATCCCCGCGCGCGTTCACAGCTGTCTTTAACGGGCTGTAAATTTGTACAAAACCTACAATTCAGTAAATATTTACATGCAAAGGTTTGAGGAGAAGTGAAAAAGAACGTTATATTTTCATATCTGCCCTTGATCTCACTATCGTCTTTTATGTGTATACTAATACACTGAAATTACCAATTTACAAAATAAAAAAGAAATCAAGACTGGATTTATTTTCACTCTACATACACATACATATGTACATATGTTGGCTTACCTTCACTGTGTTTGACCCATTTCGGGAGCAAGTCTTTTTCTTCATTTCGCAGAGATTCGCATAAATTAAACCATCAGAAGCGCAAACCGGTACAGCGCCCACAGTTGTACTTGGCGGACACGATCTAGGGCAGGAGTTAGCATTGCTTCGTTGCTGCCTTTGCACTGCATCCTCGTCCAAACTCATTGTATTCATAGCTGCGTTCATGTACTCGGAATAAAGCAAAGCAGCACGGCTTAGAATCGGCGTCGATGTTTCGTTTTCAATGCTATCAGTTGGAGTATGGTCCTTACTGTTGCGATAACTGATTATCGGCGAATCATCTTTGCTCTGGGTATAGTGGATTACTGGTGCTTGAGCTGGCAACTTAATGAACTTAATCGGTGAGTCTGTGGCTGCATCTGAAAGAAAAAATGTGCACAACATTTTTGTAAGAAATGTAAGAAATATAAGAAAAGTTGTATATTACTTTTATACTTAAGCGAAACTAGTACAAAATATATTTAAACAAATTAGAAAGCACGAAAAAGCGTTTATATGGGAGGCATATGTTATAGTTGTCCTATATGGTCGATTCCGACAAATGGTCAATAGAATATAAACCGGCACCTATACATTACATTTCATTACCCAAATTTCGGATTCTACTTTTCAATAGTCTTGTTTGACAGATCACGCGCGAGTTGCGACAAGCTGTCATATTATTTTTGTTTAGTATTGTTAGCATTTCATCACGGAAAGAATTACTTTATTACAAAAAATCCCGTTATGTGACAATTTGCAACATCAGACCGTCTTAACGCCAAACCCTTGGAGGGTTTTACTATACTGACCTAGTACCATCACCCTGACTTGGAATTTCTCCCAAAAATGTTCCACAGTGTTATTTGATGCACGAAATTAAAGCTCGTTGTCTCACCAACATTTGGTTTTAACAAGACGGCGCCACCCACACATCGCATCAATTAATGGATTTATTGAGAGAACACTTCGGTGAGCAGATAATTTCACGTTTTGGGGTCATCCATTGGTAACCAAGGTCGTCTGATATCACATCGTTAGACTTTTCCTGTCGGTATATGTATGTATAGTCGAAAGTCTATGCGGTCAATCCCGCTTCGATTCAAGCCTTCAAGCAAAACATTACGTGTGTTATTCACCAGTTACCCATCGAAATGCTGGAACGAGTCATCGAAAATTGAATGAGCCATCTGAGGCGTAGCCATAGCCAACATTTGGAAGAGATAATCTTCAAAAAACAAATGCCAAAGAATGTTCTTTTGAATGATAATAGACATATGCCCCATAAAATATGAAGTTTCAATGTTTTTTCTTAAAAAAAGTAGGGAATCACGAAATGGATTACGCTTTATAGACAGACACTGATAATTTACACAAGTATAAACTTGTATATGTAAATCTTTCCTTTGGGCATCGGTACAAATCGCGTGGAAAACTTAATACATATGAGCTGTTCAGAGTATAAAGAGAAACATTTTTTAAAATCATAATAGTATTTTAATTGAATTTCATTAATTGAAATCAACGCATTAAATGTTCATTATTATGTTTCGGCATGTTATCTTAAATTTATTATTATAGTTTTGTATTAAAAAATTTTAGAAAGTAGTGAGTAATAATATTCGTATTTATGTACGTATGTTCATATAACGTATACGGTACACCGCCAGTATTTGCAAAAATTTTTAGTATTTGTTAATTTTTGAAATATCATAAAGAGATTAGCCATATAAAACTTACGACACATCTAAAAGTAAAAGTGTGCAATTTTACTACTTATTTTACTGCGAAACTTTATTGGAAATTTCACTATCATTGCTGCGAGCAATGAACCAGCTAACTAATAAAACGTATAATTTGCTAGTCAAGTGAGCTGCTTGCACCATAACTCTCTTCTTCGCTATGCTCAAAGTGTTACCAGGTTTTTAATTATTTCTTATGCATGTGTGCAAAAGTGGCGGTTGTTTGGGAGATAAGGAGAACGAGTTGGCGTTGCAGATGATGACTTTGTGCATTGAATGCGAAGTTATTTTACGAGAAAATTTCTATTGTATAATAAATATTAAAAATATAACAAAAGTTTTCCATTAACTCAACATAAAGATTACAGCTATAAACCGCGCGCGCAGTACTGTTGCAAATAGTTTTTGTTATTGTCTTTATTGATGTTTAAAATTAACAGAAAAATTACTATGCAATGACTACAATAGAAGTATAATTATTATTTTTCAGTTGCACCCACCAGATTGAAGGATAATTTACTAACGATAACATATGTATGTATCACTTGTTTTTAACTTACCACATTAGATGTCAAATGAATAATTCATAAGAGAGCAATTTTGAAACTCGGTAATTTTCTCTAAAAATTATTGTTAAATGATTTTAACCATGGCCATAATAGCGCGTCAGTTGTTTTTTCTTGACGCTAGAAGATGTTCAATTCCAAGAAATGTGACCAAATTTCATTTATTGTGATTATATAATACAGATTATGAATAATTCATAAAAATAATTTTTTGAGACGAAAAGTTAAAATCGCTTTATTAAAACAAATAGTTTATTAAAGTAAGTCATTCGAAGAATATTATGTAAAATTTTTAAGAAGAAATATTTAAAAAGACGGCATTGGAGGCATTTATTCGAACGTGTTTCGGAAAAAATAAGGCTCTTGCGCCCTTCGTAACTTGTTGCTGTATCATACCACACCAAAAGATTAAGACTTATTCGTTAGGTAGTAGTTTTTCCCAGGTTACATCGAAAAAATCGGCTTATTTCTTGTTGGAAAATAAAAATTATTAAGAAGTTTTAACGAAAATAACTGCTTGGTGTTTCTCGTAAATTATATACAAAAATAAATTTCAAAATTTTAAACGGTGATCTCATAACTTCAAAACTATCGATATAATATCGATACAATATCGATACAATAGTTTTGAAGTTATGAGATCATCGATTTTGACAACGTGAGTAATGAGGAAAACGTTTTACAGTTTTGAAATCCAATCGTCATCATCATCAAAACATCAGTTTGCTCCAATATACTTGATATTTATATACAACATTCTTGGAATATTACACATTAAGTTAAAACTAAAAACCCTACTCCCCTAACTTGGTATATCTAATGAATAGGAAGCATAATTTTTTCATCATCACAAACAGCTGGTACCATGGGTGTTTTCCGAGCTGTAGAAATGTTTGTCTATTCGAACAAGTTGTCCTGGTCAGTGTAGCGGATTTTTAATTCACAATTCTACAGTATTGTAAACATAAATTAGTTTTCGAATTTGATAACACTGGATTACAGTCATTTTGCAATTTGATGTGAGGCTGTTTCTTGCCACTTTTGGATTGCTAAAGCCGCAAATGATATTATAGTAAAAATTTGCAAACTGAAGTGTTTTTATGTTATAGTCAAGGAACCTAGGGATCAAACCCCCATTTAGTAAAATGACAAAAATAGCTGTACGCGATGGAACTTTTTTTGAACTTAAATTCGTAATCAGGACACTTCATTTCAATTATTTTCAATATATTGAATGGGTCACTAGAATTCAAAGCAAAGCGAATAAACTTTGGTTACTAGTGAAAATGCACTTCCATGTTTAGATAACACTTACAGGTATGTCTTAAAAGCAGACTTATGAATATAGATCATTAAGGCTTCTACTACTAATATTTCGTTTATTTGATTTACTAGTGTAAACATCTATAACAATATCAAAAAATTAAATATGAACGACCTAAATAATGAAAATGAAAGGTTTTTTTTAAACGACTACGAAAATGGCATTGGAAAATTACGATATAAAGCAGAAGGAGAGAAAAGCGGAGAGCGGAATGGAAATGTAACCGTTCAAGATTATGCAGTAATATGCAGGTGTGTGTTCCAGCATATTTGAGGCTTTCGAGAAATCCGTGTAAATAATGTGCATTTGATATCTATATTTGTGCGTCGAATTACAAAAAAGAGAATAGGAAGAAAAAAAACAACATTAATATCAACATCAATATGAAATTCGAAGCACAGTAATATACCCTTTCTTACTAGTGGATCTAAGGTACCGTTATACCACTTCTGTAGACATGTATGTACGTACATATGTATTGTACATTCCTATGTGTCCCAATTATATGAACATGCATACATTTGCGTTCATATACATATTTATATTCATATTTTGACGATATGATCATGCAGCACGTTAATAAAATTTCTCCGTATAATTGCTGTGCAGTTGAATTGGAGCAGAGCAAACTGGCGTAAAATGAGATACACATACATACAAAGATACTAGAAGATACCGTGACTTTGAATTAAGAAAACCGGCTGCCATTAGTTTTAATGGACCAACAGCGTTGTCGTCGCCTTCGAACACAATGTGCGATATTTTTTTGGACAACTTTGACTATAAAGCAATTCTAAACAATTAAAAGTCAATTAAAGATTCCCAAATTCACAAATCAATAATTCATGAACACAAGTACATCTATTGGCAATGGCTTTCTTTATAATTTTTTTAATTGAAAAGAAGAATGAGATGATTGCAATAGTATTGGTACACACGCTGCATGGAATTTTCAATCATTTGTATGTGGTAAGTATGAGCCTTAGAAGACCTCACACAATAGATAATAATTCGGTATGGTAGTAGTAGAAAAAAGAATTATTTTGAGCAATAAAGAGATAGATAAAGAAGTTCCATTAAATTTTGTGTGCGGAATCAAATTTCTGGGTCCGAACATTCGAAATATTGGAAAAGGCATTCGGTAATAATTATTTGTCGCGAGCAAGTGTTTTTGATTGGTAAAAATTATTCAAAGAGGATAGAGAATGCGTTGGCGACGAACAACGTCCAGGACGGCCATCAACATTAACTGTTTATCAACACGTCAATAGAATAAAGGAATTGGTGAGAATCGACGATTAACAGTCGCAGATCTTACTGGCATCTTTGGAATATTGAAAGAATCAGTGAAAATCATTCTGAAAGATCATTCAGACCTAAGAAAAGTGCAAGAACGATGGGTTCAAAATCATTCAATTAAAAAAAAAAAAACAGCGTCGAGTTAACGTCTGTGAAACAATGTTTTCCGACTACCAGGATGTAATGGAACGTATTATTACAAGCTAAGAGTCTTGGATCTATACTTACGACGCAGAAAGAGACGATCAATCGGCCGAATATCGTGGTAAAGGTGAGCCAAAACCGGAAAACCACATCAAAGCAGAACAAATATCAAGAGTTATGTCGACAGTTTTCTGTGATTATCGAATTACTTCCAATTGGTCAAACTGTTAACAAGGAATACTATTTGAGAGGGTGGAATACGATACTGCACTGTCATGTGCTGCATTGATTCTTCGTTAGTTTTT